CTTTTTCATTAAATTAAATCCAAAAGCAATCACTGTTATTATTTTTAAGTTATATTTCTTGATTATTTTCAAATAAATATGCCTATATAGTTTTATTTTATAAATATATAGATAAAATAATTTTACAGAATAATGAATTGGTAAATTATTACTACTTATAAATGTATTTTAAAAAAATTAAAAAAAAAAAAATTGATTAACTGTAAAACCTTCGCTATATAATTAATTTAATTAATCTTAAGTAGAAATATTAGAAATTTAAATTTTATCAATTTTTTTTAAAAATTTTAAATTTTATAACATTTCAGTTCGTGAAAATGGATTATTGTAAAAGTCATTTATATAAATATCAACTAATGTATTTTATTCAATAATTTCTTAGTTATAAAATACTCCATAACTTATACCATTCTTAAAAATATTATTAATAAATTCAGTGTCTCCTTCTAAAATAATATTTGTGTTATCTTCATTAAATATAGTGATTGAATCATATAATGTATTGTGAATAAATTAAATATATTAACTTTAAAATTAATTGTAACTATAAAAATGTAAAGATAAATATATTTTTTCATTATAAGACTAAATAAATTAAGTTTAATTTTCAAAAAAATTAAAATCAATTATTAATGAAGATTATATTTAATATAATAAAGGAAATAAAAATTTTGAATCTAATAATACATTTAATATGTATCGATATTAATCTTAATATTAAGTTAAATATTATTCAGCTAGATGAATATATTTATTTTAATTCAAAAATCCATTATTGTCTATAAATTGTCTTTATTTCTTATTTAAATGTAATATAAATATATAAATATATAAATATATAAATATTTATATATTAATTTATATATATATATATTTTTTTTTTATAATAATCTTTTAAATTATATTTAAATTAAATTTTAACTTCAATTTTTTAGATTATTTTAATTTTTAATTTATTATAATACATTTATAATTATTTTATTTATTTTTATATTTACCAAAATATTATATATTTATTAAGAATTTTCAACTGTTATTTAATTATTTTTAAAACTATTAGGTAATATTTAATATTAAATTTATATTAAAATTATCATAAAACCTTTATTTTCATTCATAGTTTATTTATTAGGAATTATATTTATTACATTTTAATATTTATCAATATATATCCAATCATTATTTTCCTCTAGGATATATTTATTATAATAAAATACTTTTTATATTTGAATCATTTTTTAATCAAATAATATATCTATTTTTATTTATAGATTATCTTTTACTTTAACAATATTAATATAATCTTGTATATTTATATCTTCAATATTTTATTTATTTAATATATAATTAATTTGTTGACTTTTTACTAAATTATAATCTTCAGGATCAGAATCTCTCTTTGCCTAAATTAATATTTTATTTTTCTATTCTAATTAACATAATCTAAATCCTTTTGGTTTAGTAAAAGCTAAATATACTCCATTTTAAGAAACTAAAGATGAATAAGAATTTTCAAATCCAAACTTAAGTTCAGAAATTTTAACAGGTTTTTACATATTATGAATACTTATTATAGAAATCTAACCTTATTCAACTTAATTTACAATTAAATAATTTTTATATAAGATAGATTAATAAGTTTTTACAGCCCATCCATCTACAAGAATATATTATTCCACAAAAGGTTTATTTATATTCTTACAATTAATAATAGCAATTCCTTTATAACCTAATGTTGCGAAAACGTATTAATAATCTCTAATATCATATTCAATAAATTCTATATAAATAAATTCAAATTCTTTTAAAATTTACAGTTTTTTATTTTAAAAATCTAAATTAAAATAAAAGATTCCATATTCTTAAATTGCATAAAAACCAAAAGTACAATTTTAATTCAAGGCTATACTTTTTATTCCTTTATTACTTATTGTCTACTATATATCAAAAATATACTTATTTTTAAATATACATTTTTTATTTATTTCCTTTATTTCCGAAATATCCAAAATAATTAAATTCTCTAAATTAGCAATTATAATTAAATCTTGTTTTTAATTTTTTGAAAATCATTGAAATTATTTTATTGATCTTATTCAACGTATTCACATATTAATTTCGGTTTTTCGGGATTCTTTACATCAAATATAGCTAATCCCATTTCTGATTATCCTGCTATTAATATATCTTTACTATCAATATATAATAAAATATCATAATCAACATTTGGATGAATTTATATTCTTACTATTTATTTAGGATATAATTCATTAATATTAAAATGATATACATAAAATCCGTTATTAGCTCCACTTACAAATATATAAGAATCATCTTTATGATTAATAATTTAATTAGGATAGTTTTATTCTGTGAAATTGGAAATATCAATGCATTTATCTTTATTAAAAATATTTATAATATTGTTATTTTAAATATATTCAAATTATTAATAAATTTTAAGATCACTCCCATCACAAACAACAAGATAAATAGAATTTTAATCTAAAAAATTGATAAAAAGAGATAAACCATTAGAATAAATTCGTTAATGTAAATTTAAATTCCTTGCTTTTTCCAAAGTAGAAATTTCATAAGAATAAATACCTCTAAGCCTAAGCCCTACAAAAATAAAATTATTATCAATCGAGTGTTTCATAATTGTTACAGGACTTAAAAACTCAACGGTTTTAATAATTAACTCTTACACAGGCTTCGCTTTAAATACTTCTTCATTTATTTAACTTATATCAATAATTATAATTCCATTTTATTCAGAAAGTAAATAAAGTAATACTTTTTAAATCACGTATGATTTTTAGAAATTTCTTCCTAATTATTCTAACCTTCGTATTAAAGAATATTCCTACTTTTCTTGTTTTTATATTATTCTATAAATTTCTAAACTATCATTATTATTTGATAAGAATATAAAATCGTTATATTTATAAATATGTGTAGTTTAATATTTATTTTTTATTTAATTAATGTTATTTTAATTAAAACTATTTTTTAAATTTAATTTATTCTTTAAATTTACATAAAATATTTTTCCATATGACACTATATTCATATAATTATTATCTTAATTTATATAAAATGTATCTATTTCGAGATTTGGATATTAAAACATGTTTACTTAAACGATTTTATTTTACTCTTTGTCAAATATAAATATATAAATTATTGATTTTTCAGTTAAAACATATATAAATTCTTATTTTTATATCACTTATTTTACATTAGTTTCTATTTTATCTATTTATTTAAATTTATTATATAAATCTATTACTACTATGCTTTCATTTTTGAAAACTAAAAATAAATAATTATCGTTATTAGGATATGTAAAGCTTTAAATCACTATGTTTCCATATAATTATGTATTCAATTATATATATGGAAGGATACTATATATGTAGCATTAAAAATTATTTAAAAAAAATATGATTATGAATACGAAAATATATTTTATAAACATTTTTTTATTTTTTTTATTTTTTAATTTTACTTTCAAATAATTTAAAAAAAAAAAATATTATTATATTAACAAATTTTAATTTTATAAATAAACAAATAAAACCAATTTGTATAAACAAACAAATATTTTAAAAATATATTTTTATATTTAATTTCCATTAATTTATAGCTTAATAAAATATATATTATATTATTTAAAATTGAAAATTATAAAAATATTAAAATTGTAAAAAAAAAAAAAATGATAAAAGGTTTTCTTTAAAATTAATTAATAGCAGAAATTAATATAAATGATTTAAATAATTAAACGTTCAACAATTAGAAAAGTACCATAATAAAAAATGAAAATATCATGGGTTTAAACTATGTAAAACTAATATATAAACCACCTTAATTTAATTAATCATCAAAAATAAAAACTTCTTTAATAAATTTTTAAATATCAGAATAAATAGATATTCCTCCAAATGATACTGATTTAAAATTATTAAATTATACTTAAAAAAATATGGAATAATATAGATTTGTAGTTGAAGAATTAAGTTAATTAGGAATTATCGATGCCGATAATAAAAATAAACATTTTAATTTTTTCGAATAGAAAAATTAAGATTAGGAATAGAAAAATAATAAATAAAATTAAAATAATTATTTTTATCAGCAATTTTAATAAATTAGTGAAAGTGAAATTTTTAAATTGATGGAAGAATCAGGTTCTGATTATGATTAAGCAGTCTAATAACTTTATTCTAAAATATGAATTCATATATATATATATTTATATTACTTGCTCATTATGTTTTTTATATATTTTTTTTTTTTAAATCTTAATCATATAAAATAAATGGAAATTACTTTTTTTTTTAAACTACAATCAAATAAAAAAATGGAAATTAATTTTTTTTTTTGATTGTGTTTTTTAAAAAAGAATTACAGAAAAAAAAAATACATATATTAATTGCTTGGAAGTTTTAATATTTTTTGAGAATTTTTTTTATTTTCAAACTTGATAAAAAATAGATAAAGTATTTTTTGATGTTGTTCACTTAAGTTTATTTTTAAAAAAAAACATAAGAAATATATTTAAATCAAATAATACTTAAATATTTGTTTTATTATAAGTTTATATAAAAAATTTATTTTAATATTATTATTTATTTCATTTTATAATATTAAATATAAATATTATTTAATAATTATTATGTTATTTATATTAAATAACAATTATATAATCATTAATAAATATAATTATTTTTATTTAAAATTGTTATAATAAATTAATATAATTATAATTTATAATTATTAAGACAAATCTATATTTAATAAAATATTATATATAAATTTTGTTAATTATTATATATATATCTATAAAATATTTATTTTAGATTTATATAAAACTAAAAATAAAATATAGCTTTTTTATCATTTATTATCAATAGTTTTGATAATTTAAGTACTAATTAGCTAAAACTTTCGTTTGCATTTGTTATGTATATTATTCTTACTATCTTAATTAATCTTCACAATTTATATGCTTCATAGCTAAAGCCCTCATATGTTATTCCTAAATATCTTTGTTATTTCTTTAATGTTAATAAATATCTTATTCATTATTATAAAACTATTAATTATTATACAAATCATTCATTCTATTATTTTAATTTTATCTTCTATGAATTCTATTTCCCATCTCATCATAATCATCATCATCTTTTTCACTTCCTTATTCTTCATCTATTTTCGTTAAAAGACTATTTATTTATTAATCTAATAAATCTTTTAACCTTCCTATCATTTGAGGATCAAGATCTTTTTATTTTTATTTATATTTTTTATTTAAAATAAATATATACTATGTTCTTTAGCAAATTTATTAGCTAAATCTTCTGACTTCTCTCCTTCATAGACAACTATTCTAGCAGTTTTACCATCTTCAATATTAACATCTACAAACAGCAAAGGTACCCTTTCATCTGTATCTAAAGATTAATTATTACCCTAAATAATATTATTATTAATATTGCTATATGGTTTTTATGTATTTTTAATATTTTCATTAAACTATTATTACTATTATTATTATTATTATTACTAGCTATTTTAATAGTAATCATTTGTTTAAAAATCTTCGTTTTATTAAATTTTTGGAGAAGAATTTTGTGATTTTGAATTCTTATTATTTTACTTCTTTTTTAAAGATTAACATAAGTTTTTCTAAGTCCCACCTGTACTATTATAAAGGGAGTTATTTAAAGCATTTTGCATTTATTGTCGTTTTTTTTCATTAAAAGTAGAACCGGATGATCTCATTAGTAATTCTATTTATTTATTAAGTTATGCATTTTTTAATCTATCTATTTCTTTTTGGGCAATCTAATTTTGCTTGGTGTTAATTTCATTATTAAATTGATACTAAGAATAAGAAGAATAATTATTTTTTTAAAATCTTTTTATGTCTGGAGAAAAAGTACATTCATCACATTCCTTTTCATATTCAACATCATCTTTGTTTCTATCCCTTCTTTAATTTCTTGGTTTTGATAATGAGAATAATTCTATTGTTCTATGAGCTCCTAAAGATTTAATAGTAGTACTTAATTTTTTATCACCAGATTAGTAAAGATTTTGTACATTAGTGAAGTCTTTAATAGTAGGATGAAAAGTACATTAAGAGAGTTCTAATTAATTTAAAATATTTTTTTTTTATGCTATTTCATTATTTGTGAGTTATTTTTAATAAATAAGTTTTTAATTTATATCAAAATCATTTAAATTATTAACTTATTTCATTTATTCAATAATTTTTTATTTCTTCTCTTCTGCCAAGCCTCTTGAAACATCTGAAATTTCAGGATTAAATGTATATTATTAAGGTTAATGCTTATAAGTTCTTTAATTACTATTCAAATAAACTAGTCTATTATCATATAAATTTTTAAATAGCTTATGTATTTATTATACTTATTCATCACTATAGTACAAATTATCATTTTCATCAAATTATCCAATTGGATTTTATGAAGAATAATATATTTCTTAAAAATCAACTTTTAAATTATGCATAAATCTTACTTATTCTGATGTTAAAAAAGGTAAAAAATCTTCTTTACAATTTATTTTCTAGACTGCAAATAAAAAAACTTCTAAATTTCTTACTAGAATGATATTCTTCTTTTATTAAGATAATTAATTCCATACCTTTTAAACTTAAATTGTTAATTGCTATTAATTATTCTGCTCATTTTTTTCAAGAAAGCACATATTTTGCATTAAAGCTACCATTTCTAAATAAGTTAATGTGTCTGGAATTACTGTTCGGTTTGGATTTGTAGATAAAGCAAGTGATTATACTGCTTTTTTGAATTATTTATCAAATTTTGACATTATTAAATCATGATATTTATCTTGAACATTTTATTGACTTCCAGCCCCTTTTTCAGGAAGCTCTTAATTTTCTTCTGTTTTTTTATTTTTTTCCTATTTATATTTATTTTATTTTTTTTAAAAAAATAAAATACAAATACATTTTTACTTTTGCTCTTCTTTAGGCATCTTGATAAAGAAATTCTTAAATTTTCTCAGGTCTTTAAGTGGAGAAATTATGTTCAGAAATTTAAGGTCTAAATAAATAGTTTTCAGGTTTATATTCACAAGGTTTAACTTCTTTTTCTTAATAAAGTCTTTTTACTACGTTTGTAGGAAGTCCTTTCTTTTCAAGGATTTAAGAAGCTAATTTTTATGATTTTTGGTTTAAATTTGGCTTATTTTACATTTGTTATTCAGCTTCTTCTACTCTTTCTTTTTTTAGATTTTCTATATTTTTCTCATGGAAAAGTTGTCTTTTTTTTTAGTGTTCATAAAAATTTTCTTCTCGGATTTTTATATATCCTGAGCTTATTAGTTAAGGAAAAAAAGGGCATTTTTTTTACTAATCTTAATTATAGATTTCCCTCAAATATTCTTTTTTTTCCTTTAAATGTTTTGAATCATTATAAAGACGTTCTGCATGCATTTTTTATTCCCTTTGGATAACTGAGTCGTACTTTTTACTATGTTATTTTTCAAAAAGAGCCATTTCTTCATCTGAAAATAAATTCTTATGATTAACAGGTTTTTCAAAATAACCATTTTGAAGCACTTCATTCATTAATTATTAACTACGAATGGTATATATCGATTATTATTATAGATTATAATCTTATTACGCAACTGCTTTTGCTTCTGATGATTATTATTGTTAGAAAAATGCATTTTTTTTTTATCGCTTTACTGTTTCGAAAAATTACATGGATTTTTGTGTATTTTTAAGAGAATAATTCCTCTTTTAAGATTAGCTTTTTTAATAATATTCCCCATTCTCGTTTGTGTCCGATAATTATGATAGATTTGCAGGAGAATCACCTTGATTTGTAATATATAAATAATTATAATCTATTTTATGTGCCATTTTTATAAATTATTTATATATTTATTAGTTTTATTACTTAAATTTTTTTTTTATTTTTTATTTATTAGTTTTTTTTTTTCTTTTTTTATTTTTTTTTTATATATTTATTAATTTTTAAAAAAATAAACAATCAAAATTTTAATTTTTTATTATGAAAATTAAATAATTTTTATTTTATATTATTTATATGGTTTTTATTAATTTTTTTTGCTTTTTTTATTAAAATATATATTTTTATTAATTTATATTCATATATTTTAAGTATAATAAATATTATGAATCTTATAATTATTTAAAATAAAAAAAATATTACTTTTTTTGTAATCGTAGTTAATTTTCTATATATGTTTATAGTAATAATAATTTCTATTATAAAATTTAAAAAGGTAAATAAATATTTAAAAATAATATTTATATTAATTTAATTTATATTATATTAAATTTTTATTCACAGAATACTAATAAATATTTAATTATTTAAATAAATTTATTTAAGATTAAAATCTTAACAATTTTATAATTCTTTTCAATAATGCTAGTATTTTAAATTAATTTATACTGCTCTAAATATTTTAATAAAATAAATAAAAACATAATTTATTATATAATATTTTTTTTATAATAATCATATTATTAAAAAATAAAAAAACTTTAAATTTAATAAAATATATAAAAGAATCATAAAAGTTATTAAAAAAAATATATTAATATTGGATATATATTTTATTTAAAAATAAATTATTTGATTTAGAAGGTTTACTTGTAAAATAGTTTGAAAGAATTTTTTTAATTTCCATATTTGACATAAACCATGTTTTATACTTGCAAAAGACTTTATAACTATTATAAAAAAGCGAAATAAACATGATTATTAATTTATATAGATTATGGTATCTTTATCATAAACAATGTTATCAGCAATATTGATTCAATATTACTCTTTATTAATAATTTAAATATAAGTATATTTCTTCTTATCAGACATATATTTAGGTGATTATTTTTTCCATATATCATCATAATTATTTTTAATAATAATTATGAAAATTAATTTTAAACATTAAAACTATCCTTGTTTTCTAAATTTTAATCAATATAAATTATCTAAAAAATTATTTTTGTTTTTCGGAATAATGATTTTTTATATATTAAAATCATAAAAATAATATTTTTTGATAATTCTTCGAGTTTGAAGAAAAACTACGAAAATTGTATTTTTTAGTTTATTTATTTTTAAAAAATGACTTATTTTCTTTTTAGATTTTTACAAAAACAAATTTCTCTCTTTTTTTTTAATATATATTCTTCTCGGTTTTAATATTGTATTATTTTTTCCAAGCTTATCACAATTCTTTTTATTGGTAACTTTACTTCCAAATTAAATGATTATTATTATACAAAAAAAATTGATTTTAACTTATTTAAAATCGAATCCAACTAAAATTAGCTTTTTTCTTTGAAATACTTCATCTTCTTCTTCATTACAATCTTCGAAAAGTTAATTTTAACCATTATATTCATTATTATTTATTTAAAATTCAAATAATTAATATCTAATTGCAGCCATACTATTATGATACACTTTATTCTTTTAAGAAATCATGGTCAAAAGTTTAATCTATTACTTAATAAGGTAATTTAAATCTAGAAATAATAATTTTAAATTTACCTCTGTCAAAGATCAATTTTTTTTTCTTTAAAAAAAATTATTCTTTATTTAATGTTTCATATAATAAAATTAACAATTATTTATTTTAAAATGTATTTTGGGACAATAAAAAATCTTGTGATCTTGAATTTCACATTTTAAGCATTTTATATAATCACTTTTTTTAGTTTGATTAGGACCTAAATTTTTAAAACACTAATATATAATAATTTAATTAATATTTAAATACTAAATCAACAAACTAATCTTTTTTTTTATACTATAAATGCATTACTTTACATAGAAATGCTTTTTTTATAATCAACCAAAAACAAAAAATTTTGTGTATATTTTTTTTATTAGCTAAATAAAGAAAATTCTTTGTCGCTTTAAATAAAAATTTATTAAAAACTTATCAATAAAATATATATTTAAATAATTATTCTTATTACAATTTATATTCCAATGAAGTTAATATATTTATAGTTGTTCATTTGTCTTTTTATTGTTAAATAAATATAACTTTATCTTAATTTATATTTATTTTAATAATAATTTAAATTATCATTAATTAAAGAAGAATATAGTTCTTTATTTTTGATTTATTAAAAAGTAGTGTAATACTTTCTATTTTTTTTATAATTTCATAAAATAATTAATTTTATAAAAATAAATTGTATTTTTTTTAAAAAAAAATATATTTTTAAGATCTTAGCTTTTTTATTATTTAATATTATAAAGTTTAACTCAAGCAAAAACCCATTAATATATTTTCAAATAATAAATGTAAAAAAAACATATAGTTTATTGATTTAAGATTTAGAGTAAATAGATAATTTTTAAAAATAGTTATAAATAGAGAAAAATGCGATATTATCAATTTTTGGAAATATCAAAAATATTTAAATAGTATAAAGTTTTTCAAAATACTTCAAAATTATTTTATTTTTCATATATTTTATTAATTCAAATACTTATTTAATTTATTTTTAAAAAAATCGTATAAAACAAATTTATAATTAAAAATATATTTATTTATTTTCAAGTTAATATCTTATAAAAATTTTTTCTATTAAATTTGATATATAGTCAAGAGACATATGTGTCCCTTACTTTAATTTTGATGAAAAATTGTTAGTATATACGATGTTTTAAAAATATTTAAAATAATAAAATAAGTACTAATATGAAAAACAATTGTAAAAACTAAATTGAAAAAGAAATTAAATTTTAAATAATGAAAGTTATGATGTTTAAATTTCATAAAGTTTAAAAAATAGTTATAGGCTATAAATACTAATTAAAATAAATAGATTTTAATAAAATAAAATGGTAAACAAAATAATTCTTTTATCAATAATATTTTATAAAGTTCTAATTTAGATTAAATAATTTTGACTCTTATAAATTTATAAAATCCTTAATTTAATTAAATATTAATTTTGCAATATATTATTTTATTTTTATTAAAAAAAAAATTAAAGAATATTTTATTAAATAATGTTTTACATTTTAAAATTTTAATAAATAAATAATAATAATTAATAAGTATCTTAAGATATGTAATTCTTTTTTTTTAATAGTAAATATTTATAAAATAGTTAAAAACGTTAATAATTTTTTTACTTTTTCAAATACAATTTATTTATTTCATTCACTATCTTCTTCTGAATAATCAACTAATTCATCTTACATATCATCTAATTCTTCACTATTGTATTCTTCATCATCTTCATAATTACTATATTATCCATCTTTAAAAAATAAAATATGAATAAAAATTAATAAAAATACCAGAATCTTCTTCATTTGAATATTTAGAAGAATTAATAATAAAAACTGGAGAACCATTTTTTCCATTCAGAAAATTTTTTTAATTATTTTTTTTAAGAATGCTATAAATTTCTTTATCTAACTTTTATTTATCCATATCTTTAGGTTTAGAAATTTTATCATCAATATCATCAACAACTGGTGACAGATTTTATAAGTTTTTCTTATAATTATTAAGTTTTTATTATTTATCACTTATTATTTTTTATTAAGCATAATTAATACCTTAATCTTAGCAATCTTGCTTTATTTATTGTAAAATTACATAATTTTTTTAGTTTTAAGCACAATTTATTAAATTACTTAATCTAAAAAAAATATATATACTTAATTAAATGAAGTTAAAGTTAAGTTTTACACTTTAGTACATAATTTGAAATTTTCTTTATATATTTTATAAAGAATATCCAAAAATGAACTATCTTATTCAGTCAAAGTAGAGTTAAAAAGAGAACTAAATACTTCAATATCTAAAACAACATTCGATAAATAGGCATGAATAATAAAATTTTAAGCTGCTAATATATTCTATGATTTTAAATTTGCATCTATCAAATATACATAAGAAAAATCACTTAACATTACATTTGATTCTTCTAATATTTCAAATATTTTGTTTGCATTATTATATTCTTGGTTTTTTACAAATTATCTAAGAATATTCTCACAAGGAATGTTTACTTTTTCTTTTACTAAGTTATCTATTTCCTTTTTATATTATTTTTTTATTATAATAAAAATGTAAGTATGGTTTTTTAACTGTAATTGCTTTATTATATGTGTGATAATTTAAATATTAATTTAGATTTTTAAGTTTCTCTTCTTAAAATATTGTTTATTTTTATATTTATACAAATTTTTAAGTGCTTTTAAATTAAAAATTATGAAATAAGTTAGGAATTTTTTTCATTTTAAAAATATAATTAATGATATATTTTAATATTTTATTTTCTTATTATTTAAAAATTTTTAATAATTATATTATAAGATATTTGTTTATTCTTAAATTCGTATTTATGCTAAAATAAAAATTAAAAGTATATTAAATATTATAAATATACATAAAAAAAATGATTAATCTATTCAAATATAATTAAAAAAAAATATTTAAATATTAATTTTAGAAAAATAATGTAATTAAAAATAATAATAAAAAATTAAAATTTATTAGTAATTCTATAAACAATGTAATATAAAAAAAAATAAGTAAAAATAATAAATATAATATAATAAAATATATAGTATATAGTATTATATATATAAAAAAAAGAATATGAATTATATTAAAAATAAAATATTATCTAAAATCATAAAAATTAAAAAAAAATTAAAATAAAAATAAATTAAAAAATATTAGAAATAGGAATATTAAATAAATAAAAAAAAATTAAAAAAAATAAAAACTAAATATTGAATTAAAAAAATATATAAATTAATAATTATATTTTTATTTATATTTATATTTATATTTATATTTATTTATATTTATATTTATTTAAATTATTTTTTAAAAAATCTTATTTTATATATTAAATAATTTAATTTAAAATTGTATCATAAATATTTTTTTTTATTTATTTAGTATTATTTTTTTTCTTTTTTACTCTATCTATATTATTATACCTTTTTATTTTATTGATTTTATTCGGTTACTTATATAATTTAATATATTCCAAATTTATAATGTAAATTTTATTTATTTAATAATTAATTTTAAAATTAGAATTACAAAAATAAATAATATATTTATATATATTATAATATAAAATGTATTAAATTTTGTTAAAATAAAATAGAAAAATTAATTTTATCATATTCATTGTCGCTAATAAATATGATTTTTACTATCACTTTCACTTTAATTATTGAAATTAATAATTGAACTTTTTATATAAATAATATTTAATTAATTTTAATAAAGTATATATATAAATTATAATTTAAAATTTTTTAATACCTAGAATCTAATCCTTCTAATATGTTTTTTAAATCTATTTCAGGGTGTTTAATTTTTATATGCTGAACTAAGGAATTTACAGCTCTTTTAATTAAAAAATTAAGTTATGCTTTACATAAAAATATACCCATAACTTTTATTGCAATTTTATTTTGTACATTTATAACTCCTACAAATTTGTTAGGCTGGTCTTCTTCTTCTTTTTTTTTAATCAGAATTTTCATTATAATTTATTTAGTCATTACTTTAAATTTTTTTATTTCTTAATTTCTTTTTTTTATTTATTATAAAAGATTATAAAATCTTAAGAAAAAAGTACTTCAAGCTTCTCTATTTTCTATAAAAGCTCTTACTTTTCATTCAAAAATTCTTTAAGCTTTTTGAAAAATTATATATTAGTTTAATATATCTTATAAAATATTAAAATAATATTCACCTAACATTATAGTAATATATTTGCTAAATACAATTTATATGATTCATTATAATATGTAATGTTATCCTCTTTGATTATTAATAATTATTTTTATATATGATAAATATTATATTTCTAATGTTTTTTATATATATACCTTAAGCAATTTATTCTAAATTAGATTGATTAGTTGTCATTATATAAAATTAAAAAAATAATTTATAAACAAGATACTTTTTTCTTTTTATATTTCTTTATTATAATCTAATATTTTAATTTTATAATTTTTTATTATAATTTATATAACATTGATATTATTATATTTTCATATTTACATTAAAGCATTATAATTTTAAAATTTTATAATAATGTAACTAATATTCTTTCTTAATAATCTTCTAAAATCAAATTAATTTAACAAATCTTTTTTATTATTTAAATATATTAATTTATAAAAATAATTAAAAAAACTATAAGAGGTAAAATTGAGAATATTTTAAAAAATAAAATATTCTATATTATTATAGATTTTTAAAAAGTTGAAACATTCTTCTAAAAAAATATTCATAAATTTTTACTTTATTAAATTTATATATATTAAATTATACCGTTTATATTCTCACCCTAGATTTATAATACAAGTATTTGATTAAATTAAGTATTTTTTGTTTTGAAATTTATCAATTTTTTTTTGAAATAATTTTATGAGAATAAGCTAGGCATATTTAAAGCACAATGTAAATTAATTAATATTAATATAGTATTATTTATAAATAATATGATAAAATTATTATAATTTTTTTTATGTACTAATAATTAAAATATAGATAAAAATTTATATATAAACTTTATATATAATAAATGGCAATTTTATTTTATTTAAACAGCTCCCTAAAAATATTTTATGCCTATCATTATTCATATATAGTTATATTCTAAAAAATCTTTGATAAATTAAGTAATAAAAAATACTGATATATCCTATATAGATATATCAGTATTGAAAATTGATGGTGAGGATATAGTCTATAGATTGGATTTTATAAATAGATTTTTTTAAAAAGAGATGTAATTATTTTTGGGTGTTTTAATTCATAAATTTGCAGAATAGTATGTTTTTAATTTTATATTTATAAAACTTTCTTTATTATTTAAAATTAATAATATTATGTATTTTAAATTAATCTGTATTTACCCATTAATTTAATTATCTATTTATTTTAAATTATGTCTGATTCGAAAAAAATTTAATAGCACCAATTTTGTTTTACATTATATTTTTAAGTAATAATATGTATTTCCTAAATTAATCTGTTTTACCCATTAATTTAATATCTATTTTCTTATTGTAATATTTCAAACCATTATTGATTATTTTTTCTATTTAAAATTCAATATTTAGACATTAAAAGTTTCTTAGTTAATTTGAGTGAATAAACTATACTGTATAGTTTAATAATTAAATTGATAAGTTTATAATGATTTAATGTTTTATATGACTAAGGTTTTTTATAATTCTTTTATTAACTATAAATTCTATAATTAAATATATTATTTTCAAACTAAAAATCATATTTCGATTTTTATTTTAAACTATATTAAATTCTATCCTGTTAATACCATATTTTTCAGTATAGAGTTTATTAAATTTAATTTTTTTTTAAGGTTAAGTTAAATTAAGAAAAAATATTTATTTTACAAATAAAATCATATCATATTTTTTTTTATAATTTAAATTCTAAGTTAAATAAATATCAGTTTGATTTTATATTTTATTTATTAATTTTTTCAATGTTTATATAAAATATGTTATTTAATATAATAATATAATTTGATTTAAGGCTTTATGTATTATTATAAAAACTATTTTGAAATTGTTTTTAAATCGAACGATAAATTTAATTTCTACTTATTACTTTTTTAATAAATTTAAAATAATATTTTATTAAATCTCCAAATAAAAAATTAAATAACTTTAAATTTTTGTTTTTATAATTGCTTATATTATAAAATTATAAAAAAATATAGTTTACTTAAAATTGAATTTTATTAAAGTTTACTTAAAATTGAATTTTATTAATTAATTATGAACATATTAATAAATAAATTAATCACTAACTTAATGTATCTCAAATTAAATATAGCTTTAAGTTTTTTTAATAAACTATATTTTAGAAATTTTAAGTGATTAATATTTGTAATTTATAAAATATAAAAAATTAGAGGTTTATTTGGTTTTTAATGAAATTAAATATTTAATATTTGTATTTTTAAAATTTATTTGACAATATAATTATCTTATAAAATACATTTATATTAAAATATTCTTTAAAAAATAAAAGATTATTTATTTATGTGTTATTTTAAAATATTCTAATTATTGAAAACTTTGTATAATAAAAATTTTAACTTTTATAAACAAAAGATTATTATGCTATTGATATAATTTAAGAGAATAATAAATTGCTATATATTATAATTAGAAATATTTTTTTTTTATATAAAATAATATTTATTATCATTTTCTACCTGATCTTAAATATAAAGAATATTTTAATAAATTAAATAATTTATTATTTTAAATAAAGATTTTTTATTTTTTTATTTTAATAAATATATTAAACATAAATAAATATAATATTAAAATTAAATTTGATAATAATAAATGGACTCGGCATTCGGATTAGCAGGAAAAGACTTTGTTATTTTAGTTACAGATAGTGCAGTTGCATATTCTATTGTAAAACTTAAGGTACTTATATTAATTTATAATATGACCTAAAATTATTAATAAAAAAATTAAAGAATACTGAAGATAAAATTGTAAATTTAGATGAAAACAAATTAATGGCAATGAGTGGAGAATCAGCATATCGACTTTAATTTAGTGATTATATTGCTAGAAATATAGCTCTTTTCAAATACAGAAACGGAACACCATTGAATACTTAAGAATGTGCGTCTTTTATAAGGTAAATAACAATATTACGAAATTTTTGTTAATAAAATATTATATAAAATTACTTTTTAGATCAGAATTAGCTTATGGAATAAGGAATGGCCCTTATATGGTAAATTGTTTAATTGCTGGTTTTGATTATGATTAACCTTAATTATATTGGGTTGATTATATGGGCACACTTTAAAAAAGCGTAAAAGCAGCTCATGGGTTTATTAATATTATTAATTTTAAATAATTTTTATTAATATTTTTAATTTTTAGATATGCTGCTCATTTTGTTTTAAGTACACTTGATAATTTTTATAAACCAGTAAAACTATATTGAATAAATAATTTTTGATAATTTTAAAAATTTAATTTATATATTTTTTTAATTTAATTTAGGAATTAACATTATAAGAAGGAATCGAAATTATGAAAAAATGTGTTCATGAATTAAAAACTAGATTTTTAATTTCCTAACAAAACTTTGTTTGTAAAATTGTTACTAAGGTATAATTGTTAAAAATATATAAACTTAATTATTATTATTTTAAAATATTCTTGTGTTTATATTATTTGTTTATTTAATAAAAATAATTTAATTTATATCCTTATTTTTTAAAATAATAAAGGAAGGATTTTAAGTCTATGATTTAGAAAAATGAAATATTTATTTATATAAAAATTCCAAATAATAAGAGAAATATTATTAATGTTTTTATTTTTTTTAATAAATTTTAAATACATTTAAATATAAATATATTTGAAACTTTTTTTAATTTTATATTTATAATAAAAAAATATGATTTGGAATGATGTTGATTTAGAAAATCTTAAGAAAGGTTAAAGAATAAAAGTTCATATAAAATGCATTAAGAAAATAAAAATTAATTATTATATAATAAATAAACATATAATTTAAATAAAATTATTAACTATTAAATAAATCAAAAGAAATATAAAAAAAATATGAATAGATTATATATATCCAAAAAGAAAATATCAATTTATAATAATTATTTAATAATATGTTTAAATAATTGAAAAAGTAATATTGAATCATAGTTTACATAAACAAATAGAAACATATGTTTAAATTTAAGTAATACTTGCAAATAAAAATTAATATTTCAAAATAATATCTAAATAAAAATATTAATAATTAATAATTTTTAGAAATAAGATGAATACAAGAATTCGAATATTTAATTAATAATAGAAAAATTTAAGAACTCCACTGATTCTTAAATAGCTGACTAAAATTGGCCAAAATAAGTTTTTGTTTTAAAAATTTAGAAAATTATAATATTTTAAATATTAATCATAATATTTGTATCTGTAAATTTCAAAGATAAATTAAAATTAAATTATTAATTAAAAAAAATAATAAAAATATAAAATAATATTAAATAATTATTAATTATTTCATTTATTATTAACAATATTTACCATAAACTAATATCAAAATAATTAAAAATAAGACGCTTAAGGTACATAAGCTTTTTTCCTTTTGGAAAATTTAACTATATATCTCCATATTTATTAACTTTAATAATTTTTAAATTTTATTAATAATTAAAACTTAGCATTTTTAAAGCAAAATAATTATATATTTGAGGTAAAGATTTTTATAGCATAATTATTTATATATATTAATATTAAATTACTTCATATATAATTCTAGGCTTTAAAATTATTTTCAAGCAATAATTAATTCAAATTTAATGACTAAAATATTATTAAAATTATAATTTGTTTTTAATGAAATGCTTTTTTGATTTAAATATATAGTTTTTTATTTAAATAATTTTATTTTTATAAATAAAAAAATATTTTTATGTAAATCTTTATTATTATATATATTATTATATTGTTATGTCATTAAACTAATTAAATATTTAAACTCCTGAAAAATAAAATTTGCCTAATTTTTTCAATAAAAGTATATGTAAAGGCTTTTATTCTTAGATATAAGTTTCTCTCTCAATATATTATGTTGGGATATGCTTGATAAGACTAAAATTATTGATTTCCAAACATTAAATACCAAAATATTATGAGTTTAATGTATTTAAAATAGTATAATAATCGAATACTTACTTTTTTTTAATTTTTGCGTCATAAAGATGAGCTAGTGCAATATTATTGACATTTTGATCAATATTAAAAAATATTACCCTTAACTTTTTATTTAAGGATATTAAGTAGTTTTGTTTTTTTAGAACGAATTTTGATAATAAGATTATTAAAAAAATAATATAAAATTATTATCGCTATAAAGGTGAATATAAAAATAATTTTTGCCTAATAAATTGAAATAATTTTATTAATGAATATATTAATTGTTTTTTATTTTATTATTTTTTAAAAAAATCGACTAGAAAAAGAAAAAGAAAAAGAAAAAGAAAGATCCATTCTTTTGTGCATTTTTTTGTTTTAGTTTTTAAAAAAAGTAAATAAGTATTAATATTATTTTTAAATAAAATTAATCAGAAAAAAAAAAGTAATTATTTATTTATTATTAATACTAAATATGATATATATATGCATTTATATACACATTAAAAAGATATTTTAATTTTAAAATTTAAATTTATGATTATATATTGTTTTTATAGTATATACGCATTAAAAAATTATGAAATTATTATTTTATATTAAAGGGATTTTTAAAATAAAATATCTATATTGCTTAGTATAAGCATATAATAATATTTAATAATTTAATAACCACCTAATAATTATTTTTTGAAAAAATATTTTTTACTTATTTTTTGAGATTATTTAAATTTTTTTTTATTTCATATTAAACAATATTTTTTTTTTTCTAATAATAAATTAAAATTTAAATAAAAATATTTACAAAATATGGACGAAATTTAAGTATAAGTAAAAATTAAATTATTTTAAATATCATTTATATTAATAAAAATAAATATAGCATACAAAAAAAGGAAAAATCTAGTCATTGATAGCGATGAAGCTAGTGAGAATGAAATTAAAAATGGGATTTCATAAAAAAATAAATAATTAGAATAAAATAAAACTATCAAATAAGAATAAAATAAACTTAATAATCAAAATTCAAATAATTCAAATAATAATAATCATAATAATTAAAATAATAATAGCAATAATAATAGTCTTATTAGAAAAAATTAAAATAATTAAAACAGTAAAAAAGAAGAAAAATACAATAAAAAGCAAATAGGAAAAAAATAAATTGAAGATGATGATTCTGAACTACATACTTCTGATTCTGATTTATTTGTACCAGATGACTCAAATACAGAAGGTGAATTTAATTTTATGAAATTAAAAAAACTATAATGAAATATATATATATAACTTTATTTTATTAATTTTTTTTTTTTTTTAGATATACATGCTATAAGAGAAAAATATAACTTGACTTCAAATTTATATTCAAAAAAAGATACTGTTAAAAAAGAAGAAAAGAGAAAGTCATAAAAAACTCAATAATAATAATAAACCTAACAAACATCGTAAAATATAATATATGTTTATCATTTTTTTACTATAAGAAATAGTAGCAGAAACAGAGAACTTCAAGTAAGAAAAGGAAAAGAATTCTTGGTATATGAAGTATTAAAACGATGGTGGTATGTAATTAAAGAATGGCCTCCTTAAGATTATAATTATTAACTTTTATTATAATAACATAAATTGAGAGTTTTACCAAAGCTCAAGTTTAGATTTGCTCCTGAAGTTGATGAAAATGGATTTACTAAATGCTATGAGATTCTAGGTTATGAAGGTCTTTATAAAGATGCTAACGTAAATAAAAATTCATTCATATTAATAACTTATGTTAATATATAATATTGTAATATATTATAAAATAAAGAATAAATTTTATGATTTAAGACCAGAAGAAAATAAACCCAGTTATTCTAATTTCATAAAAAAAGATACGTCTGAATTATTTTAACTTTTAAAAATTGCATTAAAAAATTAAATAGAAGCATTAGAAAATTCAGAAGTTGTAAATTAGGAATTATTAACTTAATTAAAAAGACAATATTTAAAAGTTAAAGATAAATGATATATTTTAATATTATAAATATATATATTATATTTTTATTTATTTTTTCAAATTAGATATTATTAAATTTTTTATATCTAAATTACTAATAAAATGTAATTAAAATAAATATTAAATAAAAATACATATTTATTTTATTTTTATTACAACTAAAAATAAATAAATATTAATCAGATAAAAATGGTGAAAATTTAAGAATTTAATCCTAATAATGATCCTTAATCTATTTAAAAAAATTCAACTTTCAGCACATTATTTTCTATGCTAAATACTATGGTCGGAGGAACCATTCTTTTGCTTCCTGTATTATTTTAAAAAGCTGGTATAATTTTATCTGTTATAATAGTTTCCATTAGTGGTTATATAAGTTATAAAACATGTGATGTTTATATGTAACATTTGAAATATAAAGAAAAAGATGTTTAAGATAGTGTAAAAAGGCTTTTAGGTTAAAAATATTATTTATTTTTTATGATTATTTGTACGATGTTTTTAATATTAATTGCAATAATATATTTTTTATTTATATGTCAAATGCTTTTAGATATAGTCAACTTCTTTATATTTTAAATTACTAAAGATGAAAATAATTTTTGCAATAATTAAGAGTTTTGCTTTGATAAATTTTCTCTTTAATATAGTACTTTAATTTCAACTGTTTTAATAATATATCTTTGTTCACTTAAAAATTTGAATTTTATAGTTACTAAAATACTTCATAAAATTATAACTATAATTCTTATTTTATTTTTATATTTTTATAAAGATTAAAATTGCAGAATTGGGAGTTTATTCTATTTATTCTTATATAATATTTATTATTTATAGCTTTTTCGAAAATTTATATTAAATAAGCTTTAATGATATCAAAAAATTTGATTTTTCAGAAACTGGATAAATAGGAGGACCTATAGCTATGGCTTTCGCTATACATACAACAGCAGGTTCAATGCTAAAATGTAATAAAAAATAAGAGAATAATAGAAGAGATTTAGCAATTGTTTATTTTATTGGAAATTGTATTTATTGTTTCATAGGTTTAATTGGAGCTTTTGGAATGCAAGGTAAATAATTTATATTAAATTATTTTTATTTATAAAATTTATTAAAAAAAAGGTAGAAAAACTATTAAAGGAATAAATACTGCAAATTAAGTAAATGACTACTTTGAAAGCAGTTCAGTAAATTTATAATCAATAATTTTTAAAATATATTAATTTAAAAAGATTCCTATTCTTATTGTTAATTTGATTTATTTTATTCATTTAGTTACTGTGTTTCCTATATATTTTGGTGTTTGTAGAAAAAGATTTTTTGAAATAATATTCAATGATTGCAAACCTAATAATAAATAAATACAAATAGTAAATTATATATTTATTATCATATGTGTTATAATTACCAATATTTAATAAATTCATCCCGATTTAATTGCTAATATTAATGGTGCTTTTTGCTGTTTTTTTATAGTTTATATTTTTCCTATTTTAATTGATTTATAATGTTATAATGGATAGAACAAAATTATTTTAAGTATTAAGAATTCTATCATATAATAAAAAAGCAGTCAAAAAAATGTATTTATTTTTTAAAATTTTTATATTACTTTTTATTTTGAAAAAAAAAGACCAAATAAAGAATACGATGAATTAATTATAGATAATGATGAAAATATATAAATTAATTAATAACTTATAAAAAATAATATTTAATATGTGAATATCCATTAAAAAATAGAAAATTAATAATTTATTGAAACTTGCAATTAGCATGAACATAGGACTGATACAGAAAAAAATTATGTTAAAGTTCTCTACGTAATTTTATGTATAATTGGATTAATTGTTTTAATTTTAGGATTTTATTCGGCTGTAAAAGAAGCTATTAAATGAAAATAAATACACAATTTAATATTTTTTTATGTTATAAGAATAAAGAAATTTTATCAAAATTTAATAAAAAAATTACTCATTTATTTATTATTATATTATAATTATTTTTATAAATATAAATATAAATATAAATATAAATATAAATATAAATATAAATATAAATATAAAACAATTAAAATATACTATCATACTATTATACATATTTTTAAAAATTATATTTTAATAGTTTTTTTTTTATCACATTTTTATTTTAATAATAATAAAATATTATAACTTTATATATTTTAAAACTACTTATTTTTTTAACTCTTTATAATTATTAAAATATATATTATATTATAATATTTCATCATATATTTAATTTTTTATATTTTTTTATATAATAAAATTAAAAAAAAAAAAAAAAAATTACAAATATATATTTTTATATAAAATTTATAATCTTCTTTATTTTTATTTTATTTTTTTAAAATATAATTAAAAAACAAAATTATTTAAAATGGATTCAATTTAAGTAAGAATATAAAGAGAAAAGTAAACATTTTTTTTCGTTTGTAATCAAAGTGATTCTATAGATATTTTAAGAAAGAGATTAATACCTTTTTTTAAAGTTTAGCCAACAGATATGAGATTATATTTATAAACAAGAGTTATATTTTTATTTTTTTTCAAAATATAAGCGAATTTAATTTTTATTTAATTTATTAATTTTTTTAGTTATTAGATCCAAACTCTAATTTATATGATTAAGATGTTTAAAATGATAGTTTAATATAATTGAAGTTGAGATTGAAAAATTGTAAAATAATTTATATTTTCTATTAATTATTTATTTAATAAAGAACCAGAATTTGAAGAATGATTTATTTTTTTAAATTGCAAAATAAATACAAAAAAACTATTTATATTACAATAAAATAACCGATATTATCTTTATATTAAAATACTATAAATATTAAATTAAATTGATATTTTTCTTAAGTTTTTTATAATATAATATGCATAACAAATTTTATAATTATTAAAAAAATATTATGCTTTATGTTAGCAAGTAAATAGATGATTACTATCAATTTAATTGATTTGAATATTGTTTAAGATTTATAAATTTTAAATAATTATTTTATTTAAAATTAATGTATATTAAACGATATAATATGAATATATTTTATAAAATTAAAAATAATTATATTTATTAAAATCAAATTTAATAAAATTTTTGTCAAATATAAATATAATAAGATATTAATTTAAAAAATAAAATAAAAATATATAATAATAAAAATGAGTTATTAGATTGAACTTTAAAACTTTATGCAATAATTAAATACTCGTATTTAATAATTTTAAATTGAATTATAAAATGTTGCTCTTGAAAATAATTAAATATGTATGGATTAATCTCACGGAAATGAAGATAAATTTGTGAAATGTATGATTTAAAAAACTGATATTTAAGACAAAGCATCAAAGCAATTAGAGTTAAAAATGTAATATTGGCTCAAAAAAACATAATAATGTTTTGAATAATCTTCAAATGGTAAATATGATTAATGTAAATAAGACTCTGAATAATAACTTGATTAATTATTAAATAAATATTAGAAATAAATTAAATGAAAAAAAGTATATATAGTTTAATAAATATTTGAATAAAATAAAAATAAAATAAAATAAAATAAAATAATTTGTTTTATATATAAAATGATTATATAAATTATTTAATAATTAAAATAACATATTTTATAGAATCATTTTTAAGTATGTTATATTTTATATTTCAAATTAAACTACCTTTTATTTGTAAATTTAACATAAATATTTTGATTTGAATATATTAAAATCTAATAATTTTTTATATTTGCCTATTAAATAAGTAGGAATTGAGTTAAATAATAAATAAATATGGATATAAGATAAAAATATATAAATAGTTAAAACAATTTAAAATTAAGTTTAATTTATGGTTTTGGTTCTTTTTTATATTAAGGTCTAAAAAACTGTTTACATATAATCGAAGAAGATGATTGTAAGAAATTAATATATCCAATAGGATATTATATAGCAATAAAACATTTAGGATAAAAACAAATAGATTTTATTCCTTTAAAATAAGCAGTAAAATCATTAGCAGTATGTTAATAATCTCGAAAATTAGTTATTAGTGGAAAAAATAAACCTAATGAAAAATCTTTATTGTCTATTTATAATTTATCAATTTCCGTTTTAAAAACTTAAATTTTTTTGGAAGAAAATCAAATTAAATATCAAGGAGAACAACCGTTTATTTCAATGTCTTTTTCAATAGATGGCAATTTTTTAGCATGCTTAAGTGGCGGAGAAAATATTTAAAAAATATTTTATTTTAAATTAGAACTTTCAACAAAAATCGGATAGTAAATTTTTGAAGAAGCTTTAGATGTGTAAAGTTTACCAGAAAGAAAATTTTATGAAAACAAAATAGAAAAAATAAGCATTTCAAAAAAGATTCAACTTTAATATGTATTACAGGATGTGATTATTTTCGAATTTCGAAAGTAAATGAATAATTATAGTTTACATGTTTAGACGATGGTAGAAAATTAAAAATAAAACATATGAAAGAAAATGCTTTTATTACAGATCATGTTTGGTTTGATGAAAATAAAATTGCTTTATCAAATAATATTGGATAAGTTTTTATTATACAAGATTAGGAAATTAAATAGTAAAAAAAATATACATTTTAACATATTTAAAAAAAAAAAGAACAATAAGTAATGCGTTTGATACTTTAGAAATATAAATAAAAATATAATCTATTTGTTCATTTTAAAGAGGATTAATAATAGGTGGAGAAACAGGGTTAATAAGCATATGGATATAAAATGATGAGTATGTTGATTTTCGGAATGATAAAAAAGACTAAGAATGTAAATTGGTTCATTTAAGTCAATGGAATGAAAAAAATAGAGGAATTACTAATCTATAAATATGTGAAAATACTTTATTATTGGGATTTAAAAATGGTTATATAGGAACTTTATAATTAAAATATATAATTCCGGATAAAATAAAATAATTTCTATAAAAAAAAGAAAAATCTGAACAAATACAATATATAAATTATCTTTACAAAGGTTTTCATGAAGGACCAATAACTTAAATAGAAGTATGCATCTAAAGACCATTAATAATAACGTGCAGTAGGTAAGACTCATCGATAATAATATGGAATTATATAAATTTTAAATGTGAATTATCTAAAAAATTTGAGTCTTAGGATTTTCCTTAAGCATAAAATTCAAATGAACTTTTACTTTCGATTGCTTTTCATCCATTTGGTTATTATTTGGCATGTGGATTTGTTGATAAAGTACGTTTTTATCATATATTAAGCAATAAGTTGAAATAATATCGAGAGTTAGAAATAAAATATTCTACTTTAATGCGATTTTCAAATGGAGGTTAGCAAATTGCGATAGCTTTTCCATTTTCAAAAAGATTAAATTAATAAAATTATTTAATAATTGTTTATAATTCTTATACTTTAGAAAATATTTGTTAATTAAAAGGCCATTAAAATCCCATAAATGAAATTTTGTGGAGTTTAAATGACAATATTTTATTTTCTGGGAGCTCTGATGGGATTGTTTTATGTTGGAATATGATTTCATTTGAAAAAACAGAGATAAAAAGTAAAATTTAATTTAATACTGTTAATAGTATTGGTTTTTTTGAAAATGAATTTTAATTAATTGTGAATGATGAATAAAATTTATTTTCTACTTAATTCAAAGAAGATAAATTTGATGAATAAAAAGAAAGTTTTTCTTTAAAAAATATGTTTTTTTCAACTTTTAAAACATGCAAAAGTTCATAAAATACACAAGGAATTATTGCAGGTAGCTTTTAAGGAGAAATTAAAATTTTAAATGCTTTAATGTAACAAAAGTAAACTTTTTAAGTACATGATGGAGCTGTTTATTGCATTGCAAAAAGTTTTGATGGAAAATATGCTTTTTCAGCAGGTTAGGATGGAAGTTTATTCATTTATGCAGTTTCAGAATTAAATAATTAAGGAAATACTTTAAAAAAGGAAAATTTCTAAATCGAAAATAATAAAAGTGTTATTGATGAAGAATTAGCTGATTTGGTTTTAATTTAAAAGGCTGATATTTAATTGTGGGAAACAGAAATTAAAAAACTAAAAATTAAAAATTAAAACATTATAAATCAAGCTGATATTTAATAGTTTGAATTACAAAAATCAATAAAAAATTAAATTAATAATTTGGAATTGAAAATTAAATAATAATAAAAATTTTATGAACAAAAAATCGATGAAATCAGAAAAAACAAAACAAAAAATGAGATTGAAGGGTAAAAACTTATTAAAAATTTCGAAGATTCTCATTTAAAAGCTATTTAGGAACTAGAGAATCTTTATGAAATAAAATTGTTTTCGAAGCTGACAAAAACATATAAAATGAATAAAAATTAATTGAAGAAAGGATGAATTTTGAAAATAAACTTAAAAAAATTGAAACTATACATGATTAAGAGATTGAAAATTTTAAAATTAGAATTTAATGAAAATTTAAAATAAACAATAAACAGTATAAAAAAAATATAAATAATTAAAAATTTATTTTTAAAAAGTAATTTGATGTAAGTAAATAAACAATAAATGAACTAAGAAAAAATTACGAAGAAAAACTCGCATAACAAGAAGAAGAGCATGAAAAAGAAATTATAAATTTATATGACAATCACAAAAAAAAACTATAGAAAGCTAAACAAATATAGATGTAAAGTGAAGAAAAGAAAGCAAAGCTTGAATAGACAAACAAAATAATTAATGAAGAATTACAAAAATTACAAAAATTAGATTAAGAAATGAGCCAAAAACTATAAAATTTAGAAAAAAAGTTGAATAATGCTCTTAATTAAATAGAAATGTAAAATAAGGAAATATCCAATATGGAAGAATTAATTAAAATTAAAGAAAAAAAAATACATCAATATAAAAATAAAATTAATGATTTATCCAAATCTAAATAAGTCTTATCTTTTAGAACTACTGAAATCAAAAAATCTTTAGAACCAAAAGAAGAATAAATTGAAAAATAAAAAGAATAATTATGCAAACTAGAAAACGAATTTGATTTTTATTTGAAAAAATCTGAACATCATGGCGATAAAATGAGAAAAATGTAAAACTAAATAGAAAGCTTAAGTAGAAATTTCAAACATTAACTTGATATAACTAATTAAAAAAAAGTTCTAATAAATAAAATAATAATGGATATATATGATTGCGTCCATAATAAAGATTAAAAAGAATGGATAAGGGAAATTTAACGTTTATATTAATATTGTGTAAATTAAAATGAAGTAAAATAAACATAATCTGACAAAAAGGGAGTATAAGAGATGAGCAAATAAATAATTTATTTATAAAAAACAAAAAATTAAGTAACAGACTCTTCAAATAAATTATTAGATAGAAGATATTAAGACATACTTAATAAAACAAAAGAGAATGCAGAATTAATAAATGATTTAAACGACTTAAGAAAACAAAATAAAGAATATTAAACATAATTAGCAAATAATAAGCTACTAATAGAACGCTAAAATAAAGATATTTAAAATTTATAATAAAAAATTAACCAAAGAAAAAAAAAACAAGCGTAACTTCCAATATTAAAGTTTTAGTTTAAGATGATTTATATAACAGTAATATTAATAAAAATAATAAATATAATAGTAATTGTGTTAATAATTCTTTCTCTTATCAAGAATAGAATGTCATTTTTATTAATAAAGGTAATAGACCTTAAAGTATGTATTGTAACAATAAAAATAATAAAGCATAAGGTAAAATAAATAAAGGATATAATTTTGATTATAAAACTTAAGCTTTATTCGAAAAAGCTAAAATGCTAAATATGGCTACAGAAATAGAAAATAGTAGTCAAAAATTATCTTAATATAAATAAATTATCAATAATTTAAAAACTAAAATCTATAAACATACAAAAAATTGTAAAGATATTCTATTTGAACAAGATATTATGAATATTTTATAAGAAAATATAAATTAAATATAAGAGAAAAAAGATTATTAAAAATAAAAATAAAATAAAATATGAAAAAATAAATAATAAATATAAATATAAATATAAATATATTTATATATATATATATTTATATTTTTTTAATTTTTTTTTTTTCTTCAATTAAATTAACAAAAACTAAATATTTTTTTTTTCAGTTTTCTCTTTAAAAATTAATATAAATTAAAATATAAATTTTTAGCTTAAGTAATATTAATGTCTTATTATAATTGCATTTTTCGAAATTCAATTTGATTAGAAGACATTTGAGATTATTGAGAAATTAAAATTAAAGAAATATGTTATAATAAAATTAAAAAACTATAAATTTTTATTTAATATTAATTTAATAAATTTTTTACATCATAAAGTTTAGATTTAAAGTATTAATTACTAATAATATATATGTTAAATAATAATCATATATATACTGATTATAATTTTTACTTTTATTTAGTTTTTTTATTTTTTTTTACTTTTTATATAATATATTTAATAAAATTGTATATAAAATATATTTAATGATATATAATGAAAACAAATAAATCAGTCAGTCTCTTTATTAAATCCATAATATTTTAATATAATTATATATAATATAATTATATAATTCTTCAATACATATTTATTCTAAAGCGAAATAATTATAAATTAATTAATATTAATTTTCTTTAAATACAAAAAGTGTTATTGGAATTATAAATACTATGTTTTCATTTCCTTTTTTATTATAACATTCTAATATAGACAATTTTATATATTATGCATTTTTTACTAATATATTTTTAATTTTTAATAGGAAATTTAGTCTTCTATAATAAAGTAAAATATTTTTATAGGTTTATTAACCTATTTATGTTTATACTTTAAATTTTTTATGTATATAATGCTAAACTTAATTATTTATTAATTTTTTATCGAAAAACTACTTACTATCCTAATTATTTCTGTCTTTTTTTATTTTTTTTAAAAAGAAGGTAGATAAATGATGGAATTTTATATATAGAATATATATAAAAAAGATCTACAGTTTGCCAGTATAAAAAAATAAAAATTTATAATTGAAATAATTATAAATTAAATATGAATATATTTAATATATAATATTAATTTATAAATATATAACGATTATTTGATAAACTTAATATCTAAAATGATATTAATTTAATAAGAGCAAACTATACATTTATAAGAATTAACAATATAATTAAATATTTTTAATATAAAAATAATATTATTATAAACATTAAAAGTAAATAATTTGTAAAAAGGTTAAGCCTTAGCAATGATATTATTATAAATTTAAAATTAATCTAATAGGATTAAAAACAATAAATAATAATTTTATAACCAAAGGAATTTAATAGTTCCTATTTAAATGTTATTTTTAATTATATAAATTTTTTTATTTTTTTAACCACATCTTTAATTCAGATATTTGAAAAAGGGTGTAAAAAAAAATATTAATTTTTTTTTTAATAATTCAAAGATACAGATAATAAAAAATAAAAATAGTAAAACTTTTTAATGATAAGAGCATATTTTATTATTAATAATTTATTAAATTTATAAAAGTAAATATATATTCAAAAACTTAAAATAAATTATAAACTATATCGATATAAACTAAATTTTAATATAAAGTTTTTAGTCTCAAATGATATACAAAAAGTAAATAAATAAGTTATTTAGAGAGGTAGAGGGTACTTTGATACCAGAAATTTAATTATTATTTTATATTTACTTTTACATAAAAAAATATTAAATACTAAAAAATAAATTAATTTTGTTTACAAATTTTTTGGTTGTGTTTATAAGAAACATTCGTAAAAATTTTATCTTATAAGATTTATAAAATAAAAGTAATTCTCCTATAAAATATTAATTTGATAATAATATAAAAAAATATTATTTAGATTTGAATAATTTTGGATCTTTAAAAATAAATAATATTTAATTAAAAATATAGTAAATTAAATTATGAATAATTACAATACCTAATAATAATTTAATTATAAAATGATAATTAAAAAATATAAATTTTTTTATTAATTATATTTAAATATAATTTAAAAATATTTTTTTATATATTTTAATATTAAATTTTATTTAATATTAAAATTTTTTATATATTAATTATTTAAATTATAATAAAATAATTTGTAAAAGAAATTTATATTTCCAAAAAATAAATTTTATTTGATTCTCTAATGTTTATAATAGAAAGCTTTTTTTCAATTATTTTTTAAGGGAATTAAACATTTTTTATTTTTTTTGTAATTAAAAAAAAATTAAATAGTGTTCTTTTCTAAAGACATTATTAACTAATTATTATCGAAAATACCACTCTAAACAATCCCCTATTTTAAAATAATTTACCATATCCTTAATAATTATTATTATACCAGAATTCAATATAAAACATATAATTATTAATACAATAGCAACCAATCCTAGAATAATAAGAATTTATTAAAAAGCCATGAAAATATATTCATAATCCACATTCCTAAATATGCATTTGCTGAAGAATAATAAAAGGTTCATAAACAACATCTTTAATTATTTTCAATTTCTCCAATATTTATATTAAGAATTATAAAAACATCTTCATTATCCATTAAACATATTAATTTCTATTATTACTTTATATAAACCTCCAGTATTTATTTTTCGGTTCTTAAAATATAGATTTTCTTATTTAATATAATTTTTATGTTTAAATATGATTATTAATTACTTATTATATTTTTTAATATAAATTATATGTTTTATAATATATTATATATTTTTTATTATAATATATTATTTTTATTTATTTATTTTTTTTTTTATTTATTTAATCTTAAAGTTTCTGATCATTAATATATCTTTTTATATTTGATTAATATTAATAAATATTTAATTAATAATAATAATTACTTTATTAGTAATTTTAATAATTTTAAATAAAATATTTTTTAAATAATTATTGTCAATTAATAATTATTTTTCGCAAATTATTTTAATAATATAAATTTATTTTTTATTTAATTTAGATAATTTAGATTTAAAATACTATAAATTAAAAAGAATAAAAATATTGTGAATAATAAAAAAAGGAGAAAAAATAATTCCTCTTTATTTTTGTCCTTAAAAACCCTTTAAAATAAAAGAATTTTAAAATTATGAATAATAGTTAAAAAATTCTATATAAAATTGAACTAAATAAAAGATAAATGAATAAAATTAAAATTTAAAAAAGATTTTTTATTTTATTTTATTTATTTAATATATAAATTTTTATTGTATTTTATTATATTTAAACAAATTTAATAACATAAAATAAATAAATAAATAAATAAATGATAATTTATATTTTTTTATTATTTTTCTCTTTTAATCATATTTTTGCTTA